ATATATATATATATATATATATATATATATATATATATATATATATATATATATATATATATATATTCTAATATCGATAATCTTCATCAGAGGACTACAATAGAAATGCCAAAGTTTTACATCCATATGAATTTTCAGGATGCTACAATTCATGTTTTAAGAAGCATCTGATGTTACAGTCGCAATTGTTTGTGTAATCATATTGACAGCAAGTAAAACACACAGTAAGACACAAAGTAATCATATTGCCGTGGCCCATGATAATCCATTTTCTTGCACAAAGAATCTCATATATCGACAAAAATGTATGCAAAAAAGCTAAAGAATTTATCATTATTATGTCTCACATTCGGTTCGATAAAAGTATTTCCATCGTTGTTAAACATGTAATGGAAGAGTTACAGAGAATTAATAATAGAGCATGTACTAAAATAGAAAGAATATATCAAATTCAATATGTAGGGAAGACAACAACGGCAACCTACCTTGGAAGTTATAACATTGTTGTAGGCATGTGTTCTGACAACTTGTGAACAAGCTCATCAAATTCACTCAAAATGAAATATCAAAATTCACTTATCCACACAACTATAATTTGAAAATTCTCTTTCTGTCAAGTAGCTTCAGATTGCACCTATGATGGCAAACCATACTTGAGCAATTAGCCTTATCTTCAAATCAATCTTGATAGAAGTCAAGTCTGACTCCTTTGTTCATTCTTCCAAGAATTCTTAGCAGCTTCAGCAGATGAAGTGCCAGACTCACCATTACCATCCTTAGGCTTAGAGAAGAAAGGATCCCACTCATGTGGCCCAACTGTTCGCTGACCATCCTCTAACAAAGCATACTTCCAGCTGTTCTCTTCAATGACATCCTTTTCTTCGTGGCCTTCAATCATGTCCCTTCTTAGTCTTGTAACTTTGTCGATGATTGCCTGTACAGCCACATCAAAGGCATCATTAAGAGTCTCCAACTTAGACCTAGGGTCTGCATATATCAGGCTTGGTATAAGGCTTATGACTGTCTCTCTCATTGTTTCCACAACATGTGGAGGGATTTGCTTTAACCTTTCCTCGATACTGACACTCCTCTTTCGAATATCATCCTCAGGTATAAACACCGAGTATGTTGAGTAGTTTCTTGGGAGATGCCATGTATATTGTATATAAGCAGAGCCAGGATGAAAGAAAACAGGTATGCAACCAGCCAAAATGGAGTCAAAAGCTGATCTCCTTGTATATGAATCTCCCTGTGGTTGTAAGCAAAATAAAGAACTCTGAAACATCTGCATTATGCTGCTTGGGGAGTGACACTTGCTCTCTCCAAAATCACACTCCAGCAACTTACAAACTTTGGACCTTTTGCACTGATCTATGATCTTCCCTCTGATTGATTCTGGATTATCAGGGCGTGGTGCACCCGCAAATGAGAAGAGAAACTTCCGCTCCAACTTCCTCATCCGGTCCTGCCAAATGAAGACATCAGCATCCTTTGCTGGGTGAAAGTATGTAGGATAAGGTATCCCAAAATCATTAGCATTCCATGGGCTCGCTTCCACAACCAGCATCGACATGTTTCTTGCAGCTGGCAAGAATAGAAGCTTGTTTCCCCAATCTGTTTCAGAATCAGTCAATCTCCTGAAATCCCAAGTAATTCTCCCTGCCACCAAGAAGTGGTCCCTTCCCCCCATCACACTCCATTCAGGCCTCTTCATGAGCCATTCAACCAAATCCAGAGATGCAGCATCCCTGACTGAGGTATTGTATCCCCAAAGATATCGAGCTATGTCAAAACCAGCATAGAAGGGCACGAAGATAGCAGCAGCGATGGATGGATCTTCTGTCAAGCACTCATACTGCTTCATCCGGTTGTTGAAGATCACATCCACCGCGAACTGATTAGTGGCGTACCATCCTGTGTTCGAGAAGACCCCATCTGAATTCTCGAGCGGAGGCCCCATGCCAGCATTGCTTGTGAACTTGCACATGTTGATCCAAAGGCTCAACTTTCGGCAATCTCTAAGCATGTCAGCGTTGAACCGGGAAGGGAGATCATGGACGTAGATATACCTCCCACCGCAAGGGTCGCTTTTGTTCTCGATGGTCTGGAGGGCACGGGTGAAGGGGAACGCCTCTGGTGCTTGACGGGTATCTGCTAGTTTTGATTTGGTCGGCGCCTTCATTTTGGGCAGTTCAAGTGCTTCATATGCTTCCGAAATCCGCTGGGGTTTGGACGAGATGGAGGAGAAGGGAACGGGTTGGTCAGGATTGCTGATGGGGTTGCTACTGAGAACGGTGAAATGGAAGTAGAAGATCATGATCCAGAACATGACCGATAGGGTGGCCAAGAAGCAGAGCCGAGATGGCGGAGGCTTGCCGTTGGCCTTCTCCATCTCCTCCTGATGGTTGAACGCCGATGACCGCCGTCTCATGAGATTCTGACCCAAAATCAGCTCAACTGATCGATCCGAAAGGAATGAATTCTTATCAAACTGAGAGGAGCAGATCCAATTGGCCGCTTCTACTGAGCCCTCCCCAAAATCCAAATGAGACAAGAGGAACTACTACCCAACAGTCTTCGGAGCCCTCAATAAAAAAAACTCTCGCTAAAAATCATATCTTTCATATAGACTACGAAACATTTCACTTTCAAAACCCCTAAAATTACAAAATTTTGCAGGAAATCAGATCCCAGATCGGGATTCCCTGCCTGACCGACAAAACAATTTAGAACCTATCAAATGTCACTACAAAATTCCATATTTCCTTCTAAAATCCCAACAGGAAGAGAAAGGCCAACCAGTCTCGATTTGCACCGACAAAGATGGTAACAAATAGTGAAGAAAAAAAAACACAAATTTCGACGGAGTTACAAATGAATTAAGAGGAGGCAATGAGAAGAATGGAGTGAGAGACGGGAAGAGAAGACTCACGGAGCAATCGACGCCGCGAAGAGGGGAGAGAAGGCTTTCCTTTTCACCCACGCTCAATGGGGTAGATCTCGGGAAGACAGCAACAGCCGTTGGCGTCACGGAGACTCTGGCATTCTGTCTTATGGAAAAGGGCCGGGAGACGCGCACGCTAGAACGCTGCGCCAGTCCGCCTCTCCGTCGGTAGCCGGTTGCTTGTTCCGCCAGGTCGGACGCACCCCGCGACGTGTCGGTCTCCCCCCATTCAATGCCAAAAAGTTATGCCGCGGGGCCCGGCAATTTGTGAAAAATTACGCCGTTACGCCATCGTCTCCGTAACGGCCGTTAGCTCGCGGCGGTGGCGGCGGGACACCTCTGTGGTGACCCTCCATCGCTCAGATGCGTCGCGTTTACCGAAGCATCACCGGTGCTGACGGTCCACGCGTCACAGGATCCGTTTAGGAAGCATAAAAAAAATGAAAATATTTTTCTCACCCGTCTGTGTTACCCCGGAAGGTACGACAAAGTACCGTGTGGATCCCATTCGATATGCCAAATGGTAAAGCAGGTGGAGTTTTAGGGAGGACCAAATAGGTACGAAATTGTTGCTCGTAAGAAAGAGCTACACTCGCCGTCCCGGTCTGCTAAAGCTACTCGTTTGTTGATTGGAGCAAACAAGTGGGGGCGCTCTTGGGGCCTACAGCACGGCTGGGTAAGCGTCGATTAGGGGACATGTTATCACGTCGGTGGTGTGTTAATTAGGAAGATAATAAGAGGTCACAGTCAAAGCTCAAAAGCGACAAAAATATTACCTTAATCCTCGCCAATTATTCCTAATCCATGCTTATGCTTTTGGGCATCGATAATGATGGGTGAGGTGAGATGTATGTCATCAAGGTTACCACGTCGGTGACATTACCGATTAGAAACATATTAATACGCAAAGTCAAATCTCATGAGACGACAGAAACCAATTACGAGTAACTCAAGTTAGTAGTTTTGGGTGTTGATAATGATAGTGAATTGGAGCGATGACGGGCCATATGCCGTCATGTCTCATCGTGGTTTGATCACCGGAACAGATACGCATTGTATAATAATGGCATGTCTGGATCGTCGTATGTATTATTATTCCCACTCTTAAAGGGCGTCAGGTTTGAACGGCCATTTAGATAGATCCAGTAAGGAATAAGATTTACTGATAGATCATGTTCTGAGCCGAATAAGATTACTCGGCTCAACGAGTATGACTTTACTGTTACTGTACTTGGAACAGTAAATCACAGCTCTCCTCATGTATAATTTATCCTTGTTCGATAATAAAAAAATAAATAATAATAATAATAATAATAGAAGTCCGTACCATAGACGTGATGGTGAGAATGAGGAACAGCGGGATGACAGGTGTGAAATGTAGGCAGTGCTTAGCACATCTCGAGGTTGAGGCTAACGATTTGTAGTGTTATTATTGATGTAAAATATTGGTGGTTTGATTCGAATGCCACACCATGGCGTGTTGTCGTATTAAGCAGCACTGCTCAGGATGTGCTAACCACTTGATGTTTATTATCTTCATCCGGTGAGAAACATGTATTATTATTTTACCATTTCTATTCCAAATGAAGTTTCTAGAATTTTTACTAAAATTCATCAAAATCAGATTTGTTAACCAAGTTTTATTCCTCCCACTAGATAGAATTGATCAAAAATATTATCTTCATCCTCGCCAATTATTCCTCCCATTAGATAGAATTGTGCCTAAGTTTCGACGCTTCCATCAAGACTATGAGCATGACATGAAAGACTACCATGACTTAAAACTACCAAGGTTATCTCAATCGCTACCTACACAAGGTACAAGAGACATCTCTAAGACCGCATGGGCTCATTGATTACAAGGTGGATGTAATTATTGGTTGGCCTACATTAAGAGATAACAGTACGTTCTCCTGTAAAAAACTAGGCACAAGAACCATACACTAAGAGGTTTCACTTGATGGGCAACCTTCTACTCTTGTTCAAAGAAGGGGAAGCTAAGCACTTAGAGCTCTTGTCGTGTTGCTCAAAGTTTTTAATGAACTAGTAAAAAGGATCCTGGTTGATACCAAGAGTTCTATCGACATAATATATTTTAATGCCTTTCAAATGATTGATCTAAGCACGAATATCTTCAACCCATCTCATCTAGACTTACTAGCTTCACTGGGGTCAGAGACAATAGACCTATATGCTACGTTCGGATCGGGTGCCCAACCCTCATTTGTTTATGTGCGATTATTTCAACTATTATATGACACTAAAGTTTTTCACTAAATGTCATGGACAAAACTGTAAACGGAGTATTTGATGTAATGCTCATGTATATTTGTGTCTTTCAATTTTATTCATGTTTTGCATAGCATGAAAATGATTGATAGTAACCTTAGTAACCCAATTTTCTTTGGTTTTGATAGTTGTCTCGACTTCCTCCTCTAGGAGCCCACACTCGGCTTCTTCACTAGACTCGAATTTCCCTTTTTGTCGTAGGCGGAGAAAACTCACTGTGATTATCGAGTCCATTGGATCTGACGAAAGCAACCTTCCTATTAGTTGGAAGCTTGTTGTTGTGGCCTTTTGGGAGCTTGAGGCCGAGATGATCGTAGCACGTTTGGGATATCGTACGTTGATACCCAATGTGCCAACTGTTAAGGAGTGTTGCTTGGGTTAAAGGTGGCGATCCCAATGGCCTACCTAGTACTCTGCCCTCTTCTCCTCTTCTGCTTAGAGCTGCTTCGTTGCTTGCTCCACTGCCTGCTATAGACTGATGCTTTCCATGTGAAAGGAAGCTACCTCCACGTCCGACCTCAACAATGCCTCGATGTCACCTTGTTCGTCGATTGGCCAAATCCATCAAACGACAATGCTCCGTTACTAGACTCAAAGATTCTCTCGACCTCATTAGCAATCTCTCTCTGCAGCCCTCACTGTGAACTTGTCCTTTTCTTTGACCTGATCAAATGGTGTCTCTGCAAAGCATAACTCATGATCAAAACAAACGAAAAGCATATAAGGAAAGTTAAATGTATTATCAACACTCACCCCTTAGGCCAATCCTTGGAGGAGCACGTCGTGGTTCCAAATGGTGGCATCTCGGGAAATTTCCCAGGCTTGACCGGGCATCCATTCCAGCCTAATTCAACCACATCCACATCACATTTACATCAGACTTTGGAATCAAAGAAGACTTTTACCTCTAAAAGAATGCATTTAAAATCATAGGTTGCAGATAAATACAGAGGGTGAAAAATATCACCCTTGTCCTTCAGCCAATATGCATAGTTAACCTACCAATTTTCTCAAGTGGCCAGCTCAGTACTTGAAAGGTACAGAGATTGACATAAGTAACAGAGTTGAAGCTATATCATGCTACTGAAGAACAAACATGGACAAAGAAAGAAAGCCGAAAGAGATCCAAGTGATACGAGAAATCATCAAATATCAGAAAATACATATACACTGTCACCTGTGGCATGGTAGAAATCTGAACGCTGCGGCAAAAACAACAAAGTGAAGTAGAAGAGGCTGAGAGGGAAAAGAAGGCATCAGTAGATACATGCAGCAGCAAGATCTGAAAAAGCCTCTCCAACCAAATCCTTCAATACATCACTGGTTATTTCTTTAGCGATCTCCTCTACTATCCTGTTCAATTCAACCCATCTGTTTCCTCCCGCCTCAGTCCTCAATACTCTATCCACAACTAGACTACCAATGTCATTCTCAGTAAACACCACCGTCCGGTTGCCAGAAGACCAATCCCTCACTAGACCCCACACATCCTCTGACAAGGCAGAGCTTGCACAAGCATTAATCTGTGCCCCACAGGACGCCCTGTTCCATGGGTATACACTCATTAAGGTAGACCAACTGACTTCTAAAAGGGCCGAGTTCACACAGTCAAATAGGAGCCTCAGGGTTGGAGTTTTCTCCATGCACTTCGATTCATCTTCTTTCAGACCCAAGAGTTTGTCAAGTAACACTGGATCCAATGGGCTATCAGGAGAGTGCCATCCAGTGAACATCATATCAGATTTCTCCAAGCCAGCATAAGATAGCAATTTCTGAACAAATACAAAATGATCTTGGTCAGCACCATCTGCCTTGGACAAAGCTACTTTAAAACTTGAGGGCTCGGGGAGTCGCATTTCCAGACGGGTGTCATCCCATGACAAAGTACGAGCAACTGACTCTATAGGTGAAGCCCTGGAAATTACTGAATGGAGATAAAACATCAATCAGCAAATAGAAAGATAAGCATGGATACGAATGCAAGAGAAAACTTACATTGTTGTCTAGCATTTGCTTCAGATGTCTGCAATAGATTTCCATTCACATCATCTTCAAATTGTGCATCCAGAATTGAAGTAGGGCTAGGTTGGTCCAGGTTGTTCGTGTAATTTTGACGTGGACTGAGTTTCTCCTCCTCACTAGATTTGTCACTTGTCCTGGAGTTTTCAACTGATTGCATGGGCTGCAGAGAATAAGAAATTTATCACTGACGTTGAACTGAAAAGAAAACATGTGTGAAGTAAAAGATTGTAAATATGTGAGCAAAGTAGAAAATGGAAGTGTTCAAATCCGCAAGAACAGCAAGAATACTAACTTTTTTGGAAACATTTGTCACCGATATTGAAGCTGTACTGGCAGATTGTTCCTCATCTTTTACTTGACTGTTTGCAGACGAACTACCATGAACTGATTTTAGCATCTCATCAGTTCTGCTTGCTACCACATCAGCACCACCAGAGCCCACCATGGTAGAAGAAACAGGTCTTTTTCTAGTTTCCTTGCTCCTAGAAAAGAAAAAGCTAGAGAATCTTCCTCTGAAAGATGATTTACCGTGTTTGGTCTTTGACACCTCTGACACAGTGGGTTCACAAAGCTGAGTGTTGGAACCTTCATATTTCAAGCCAATGTCTTTGTAAGCTGAACAAGAGACTGGGACAGACTTTGATCTTGATAAATTTTCAGGGGAAAGCTCTCCTGAATTCTTTTTTCCATCCACCGATAAGAAGAATGCTGGTAACATCAATTCATCATCTCCTCCACATGATCTGCTGGCTGAGACTGTATACCTATTGACACATTCTTCTCTTTTTACATCAGAAATTGCAAGCATTTCACCTAAAGTGCTTGAGCTCTTAGGTAAATGCAGTTGCTCTTGGCTTGTACCATTTGATGTCACTAAAGCCCACCTTTCTGAAAGCCGCTTCTTTGCCTCTCTAATCACTGATGACTCAGGTGAATGTGACACCCGGCTGAAAGATGACACTGAGCAAGGACTGTTGAATCTATCCCAAGAATGGCGTGACGTTGGAGCAGCTACATCAGAGTCACTAAAGCCACCACCATCTTCCTCAATGTAGTCAGTTTCGAACAGATTGAATGAACTCCCATCTCCACCAAAGCTATTTGAGTAAACAGAAGATAGCAAAGACTCATCCCTCCTATGACCAGATAGAATCTTATGCATCTGCTGAGTTCTCTCCTCTATGTATTTTGGTCCGAAGGCTTCACTATCTCCCAGATCACCCTGTACTAGATGCTTAGGTGACATGGTTGTAGTGGGTGCTTTGGTAGGATTTCCAGTGCTAGGCTTCAAGACAACTATCCTAGTCGGCTGAGAGAAGCTTTCAGCTTTTAAATGGTCGAAGGTAGAGTTCCAGTGGTGATTGTTTGTTTCCCTTCCACTCTCTTTAATCTCTGGACCTTCCTGCTTCTTCACCATTTTTTCAAACTTCGTCTCAACTTTTTTTGATGGCTTCAATACAGTAATGTGATTTGGTTGAGGTGGTGGAGGGACAGAGCGAAGATCAAATGTTTGCTTAGAAAACAGAGAATTCGGCTCTTCAAGAAATTTAAGAAACAAGTCTCTGTTTAAATTCAGAACCTCTAGCGCATCCTGAAATTCCTTGGAGTGAATAAGGTTTTCATCAGTGGCTAGATGCTTTGCTTCCATGAATTTTTGACGGACAAGAGCCATTCTTAGGTCATTCTGAGTCTCTCCACATCTTCTGCTCCTGCTCTGAGATGGCTGCTTCCAGACTTCAGATACATATCTGCGTTCCATCTTCAAACAATCATGTTGATGGAGCTCACATGGAACTTCCTTATTGCAAAAGACATCATCTTGAAGATGACCTCTATGGACTCCTGCTGAGGCAGTTTGAGGGTAACCCTCTAGCAACTTTCTTTGACTAGCCACTGGCGACAATTGTGTTGTCAGATCATCATCAAGGCCCATTAGTCGGGCAACAACACTATGTGGTTTCCTCTTGGACTTTGTTTCTTTCGACATCTCCTGAGCTATTAGCATCTTCATTGGTGTTCCACCAGATTTCTTTTTTGAAGAATTCTGGTACAGGACACTGGTTATCTGCAATCAAATATGGATTCCATAACACAAAACCATCCAAAAATAGGATTAATGCTTCATTGTTAATGACAAAGTATCGGATTCTTACTTGTTTGTTATCTGTGTTAGTCGCACTCGGAGTGGCGGCTTCGTTGACATTAGGGTTGTTTCTATGAACTGGAGAACCTGTTTAACAACCAGCAGGCACAGAGATGTTTTAAGAATAATAAGCATTTTGGCATTGATTTAAAGCCGGAAAAATACAAAGAGATTAATCTAGAGACACCAACAAATGGACTAACTGCATTTTCCTTGTAGTAATTGTTTTCAGAAATTGCCATGATCATGAAAAAAATGTCTCTGGTTTACCAGGTTAAGGAAAAAGCATGATATCAGTCCAAAATAACCATAAGTGGCAAAGAAAGAGAATAGTAACAGACTTAGGAGTGGCAGATCCTTTCTACAAGAACAAACAACGCCGAGACAAGCTATAATTCCAGAAAGTAATCAATTACCCATCCACAATCAACAAACTGTGCCTCATAATCCTAGCATCGCAAGCAGATCTAAAACACTTACAAAACAATGAACTAGGACGAAAAAGCACACTAAAAGTGAATACTCTAGTATAAATGTCCTGAAGAGAGAAAACTAACTATAAATCTGGAAAAGAATACTGAAAACCGACTCAGAGGAAATGTATAGAAAGCCCAAAGTAATACCATTTCTATGATCTCTTTCCGGCAGCATTTTGGTTCCGGCCATTCCGGCACTTAAGTCAAATATGTTGATCATCCTTCCTATATATCCAAGGGATGCCTTTTTCAGACTCTGCCTCCGTATTCTGAAACCCACTCATCTCAACTCCTGGAAGGATGCACCGATACCTGAGGTAATCAGAAAAATTCACCGCCATCATCTATTTCTTAAGCACAGTACCATAAAATCACTTACCGGGTTACCAAGCAGAAAATCTCCACATGTTCAAAGAAAAGAAGCTCTCACTTTAGGCTTCAGACTACAAGAACACAAAGAAATAGATGTAAGAAAATGCTAGATTACAGGGAAAAGGTACAGCATTCGTAATCCGAGAAATCATTCTTATAAATAACAGCAGCGTAGTAGGATTCTTCACATTTGATTTAATTTAAAGGTTGTAGAAACCCAACATTCACGTCTCGACCGTCGCCCGTTCAAATTGTACACCAAAAAGGACAGCATTATAAGTTTCTTTGTCAGGGGAACAATTAAATCACAACACAAAAAGCTGACAGATGACGATAGAAATATGCTACTTTGAAATCCTATCATATAGAAAGACAGACTTATAGCAAATGAAACGAAACCCAGGACTTCGACGGGTGGGGGTTAAAGCAAGCAAGAAGTGAATGTCGAGAGGAAAAAGAGTACCGAAACATAGAAATTAACAGAGACAGGTCTTGGGAAAAAGAAAAGCAACATAGTATTTATAGGAATTTCGAAGAGAAAAAGGTTTGATCCAAGAGAATAATTCTCTCTCCAAAGGAATCTCTGCAAAAGGCTGCACTTTTCCTGAAATATGACGAAGGATGACAGGCAAAGGGGGAAAAGCTCAAAAATTTCAAAGACAGCCTCTTAAATGAACACCAACACCCACGAATCCAGGCCAAGATCTCAGAGATCCTTATGAAAAGCAGAAAATTGATCGAGGGAAATCAAGCAGAAAGAGACAAGAGGGAGGCAGGGAGAAGAGCAAACTCGCACGGAAGAGGAAACCTAGCACCAAAACCCAAACGAAAAAGGAATCATTACAGCATCGAAAGCGATCCACCGAGCTCCGGAATGCGAGATCAAGGTGTTGGAACAGCTGAGCACAAAGAATTGGAATACAAAGGGGCCGAAAAAAAGCGAGATCACTTTACTGCATCTGATCGAATCCATCCCCTCATCCGACCTTAAATCTAAACCAAAAGGGCCGCGCGTCGCCGCTCCGACACCGGAATCCTCCATCTCCGGACGCCGCTGCAGTCGCAGATCTCGCCAGCAGTGGTTTGCCGTCAAGAGGCAGACTGTTGGCGTTAAGTATGAACGTGAGACTACACCCGCTTTGGCCTTCTTTACGGAACTTTGGAATTATTATTAATTTATTTGCAAAAACTAAAGAAATATATACTTATAAATAAGGAATTATAATTACCACTAATATTTTCCTGATAAATTGGATGGAGAAGCATAAATACTGAATTAAATATGAAGCATATTAAAATAAGAAAAAATATGGCAATAGCTCTTTCGACAGTGCGGTGAGAGATTCACTTGAATTCTTGGAAATAAGAAAAAATATATATTGGATATCACTCTACTGCATGGAATGAGTGACTGTAAAGTCGATCTATTAAGCCACAATGAGTGAGATTTGCATAAATACGCCACTTAATATGTGCATGTCTAAATCTGGAACTTCAAGTGTCGTACAATACAAACGATTCCAGAAGGCAAAGCGTTCACATCAATGCTGATAAGAGTATAGATACTGCATTAAAGAAAAGAACGAAAGAAAGGAACAGCTTCCTTTGTCCCTTCCTCTCACTGATGACTCCTTATCTCAATCGACCAGCCATCTTTGTTGGAACAAAGATATGAACAATCCTCGAATCCACAGTTTTCTCCACGCCACAGACGAAACGTGGCTGGTGCTTCATCGCGTGCATGCTTGCTCTCTTTTTGCTCCACCATATTCCATGGCTAGAGGAAGGTGGGGAAGAGAACACAGAAGATGTGTTTTGCTTGCAATTAGGTGAGGCGTCGGCACTCGCTACATGGAATACGATAGCCTTGGAGACGTATGGAACGTTCACTCAGAACTCGTCGCACCAACGTCATGCGCGATGGGGACTCGCGTGAGCTCATCGTCCCCATGTGCGGATGGGCCTCCGCTCTTCCCTTCCGCCACCGTCATCTCCTCTCGTTTGCTCGGCTGTCCCTTCCAATGGCGTCTTCGGCGATACGCTTTAGTTGACGGATTACATAAACGCCCCTTCTCTGACAAACCCAATTACAGGATCCAATATTAAAATAAAAAATTATAAAGATCAATAAGTTAAAAATATACTAAAAATTATAATAAGATTAATACTATTCAATAAATTTTTATCCATATTAAAAAATTATATCTTTTAATAGAATATAAGGTTCCGAGTTATACTCACTTAAGTATATTTTTTTATTCATATCTCACGTAAATATAAAGAACACTTTCAACATAAAACTCTAAAATCATCCTTACTAGCAACGAAAATACCTTAACTTTTTATCTCGTCAAAACCCTAAAACTCAAGATAAATTTATAAGAATAAATCTTTTTTCATTAAGGATTTTTAATTTATTTAAGATTTTACTAATTAATTTAAATATAATTAGAACTCTTGGGAAATATTTTTCACTTTATTTCTCCTATGAAAATTAGACCACTGGCTTAAAAAATTTACCACAACCGTGTAAATCAAATCAGTTCATGATCCATGATTTCAAAAAACCGGCCAATGCATCCTATGTAGCTTGAACCAAATCAATGTCACTATTCGATTCCCATCAAAAGAATTTTTTTCCTCATAATTATTTACATTCTAAAAATTATGAGTATCCTCTTTTTTTTTTTTAATCAAGTTTGTTATCATAGGTAACTACCATCCTTTATACATACAACTTATTTCAATTTTGATGTTATCTTCCTTTCGCAAAGATCATATTGTTAGATTATGTAGCTCTATTTTATTTGATAAGATACATTATGAATATGATTAAATTTTGATTACGATTATCAGAAAAGAAGTTCAATTATGGTATGATTCATCATTTGCTCTTGTCTATAAATAGATAGAACCTCCAAAGGACTCAACACAATACAAACATACAATAATTGAATAAGTGAATATACGGGTATGCGAATATGTGGATATACGTTATGATTAAGAGATTATAGATCTTCTCTCATATTTTTTTTGTCCCTAAATCCATTGATTATAGTGGTCCTCTAAAGAATAGAAAGAGAAAAGAAGGTAAATATAATTTTCCTTACATATCAATATTACTATAGATCTTAGATCCGACAATAGTGTGCTCGTATATTAGTGAAATTTTTTTCTAAATAACATTGAAAGGTACACATCATAATCTTCACATCTATTGTTATTTGATTTCAAATTTTTTATTAAAATCTTTCGCTTAATAATATCATATTATGATTTTTATGCTTATATAGGTAACCCCAAGTAACTTTTATAACTCCACCCTTAGTCTTTAATATCTTTGGAACATAAGTCATATCCTCTAGAATATATATCTCTCTATGAATTATTTGAATATTTACCTTACTAACACCCATGATCTTTACTATAGAATCATAATATAGACTCAACCCACTAATCAATTTGTCATTAACACAAGCAAAATCAATAAAATAACTCTTCTAAAAAGATGCATTGTTACCTTTAATAATTAGAGGATATTTTTATCATTATCCATTATAAAAGAGCACTCACTAGTCTTTTCTTTTAATTTCTTTCTTTTAGATAATTCCACTTATATGCTTGTACTCTTTGCATCTATAATACTAAATCGTATCCAAAGATGTAATTCTTAATCTCAACCCATTACGTTAAGATATACTTTTATTAAAAAATCCTCATCGTCGACCTCCACCTCTATCATGAGTAGCTAATGCCTCATCATCCATATTATTAAATTTATCCCTTTTTTTTAGTAGCATGAAACACTAAAACTTCTTTAACTTATTCTAGAGTTACTATAACTTTTCTATATATTATCATCCACTCAAAGTTATTATAGGAGTCACAAGCGACGTAAGAAGCAATGTCTTATTATCTTCACATCAACTTCTTCGATTGATCTAATATTCTTTTAAATATATTCAGATGCTTTCCCAAGTCTATGTTTTTCTCTATTCTTATATAACTTTTACTTCGGATATAACTCGTAACTTTTATAACTTATCTCAAATAATCATGGTGAAGTTATCATCAATAACATTATTGATAATATTATCAATCATGCAAAGATAAATAGTACTTGTTCACTTTGTCTCGAGCTCTTCCTAATTTTCATTACTCATCTTTTCTAGTTTGCTTACCGATCCTTTCGATATTCTTGTCAGGTTTTATTGAACAAGATATTTCACTCTTCTTTACCACAAGGTGAAACTATTTCTTCTATTAAATTTCTCTACAATAAAACTAGCAAAAACAACTAATGACATCGTTGTTGAATCCCTAGAGGAGAAAGACTAAAAATCAAAAGAAACACTTGAAAGATCAACGAGCTATAAACATCCAAAAAGTCGATATAATATTAACATGGTTCAACAAATCACTATCTATATTCATCAAGAAAGCATATTCTTCAATATATGAGATCAATTATAAAGCTTTTCAGTTATCTCTATTCAAGTATGATTTTTCTTATTTACCCTTCACATAAGCCTAAAGAGCTCTCTCAACTATCTTTAGAAACCTTAGATATCACCATTAACTTTAGCGATCAAAGTCTCTTAACTCTCTCTTTCACAAAAAAATTATGACTCAAGATATATTTATAGAAACAAATCCTAATTTACTAAGGAGTTATAATTTAATTAAAATTTTATTAACTAATTTAAATAAAATTAAAATTCTTAAATTATTAACAAATTTTCCGTTGGAATAGAGTTATGCTAGAAATTGGCACCAACGGCACTGATAAACTCTCCAATCACACCTGATGAAAAGAATAGAAGATAAGAACAATTATTGAAGAAGCTTTATTGAAGTAACTTTAGCTTGAATGCATTAGCATGTCCCGATTTTCCTCAATAGAATAGAGGATTTTCCTCAACAGAATAGATAAGATTTCCTCATATAGTTGGGGAAATCTTATCTTCTATCATGCCCCCGCAAGATGGTGCTCCTGACAAGGATACCAATCTTGGATCGATGCAAAATTGCTGCTGCTATTGTTGTTGCTATAGTTTTGACGATGATGGTTGCGGCTGCGATGGCAGCGGCTACGATTGCGACGGCGACGGTTGCGATTGCGATGGCGGCGGTTGCGACTGTGACGGCGGCGGTTGTGGCTGCGACGACGGCGGTTGTGGCTGCGACGGTGGCGGTTGTGGCTGCGACAGCGGCGGTTGCAGCTACGATGGCGACAGTTGTGGCTGCGACGACGACAGTTGTGGCTGCGACGGCGACAGTTGTGGCTGCGACGACTACAATGATGGCAGAGGAGAAATCTACAGTAATGTTGCAGTGATGCTACTACAACAAAGGAGGAAGCTGCAACATAGGAGGAAGGTGCAGTAGAGGAGGAAGCTGCAGCAGAGGAGGAAGCTGCAGCAAAAGAGGTATGAGGTAGCTACAGCGAGGAAGAAAGGTGGGGCAATGCTGGTGAGCACAGCACTAGAGACGCCGCAGATGAAGGGAACAGATGTTGGCGCAGAGTGGCAGTGGAGAAGACAATTGTCATTCGCCGAAGAGGAAAGATCTGTCACACCGATGGGCTGATGATGGAAAAGCAATGGTAGAAAGCTTTTTCTTTTACCGTCAGAGATGGAGAAGCAACAGTGATAAGTCGGTAGCGAGAAGAAAAAAGAGAGCTTGCTCTAGGCAAGTAGCTCTGATACCATGATGATAAGAACAATTATTGAAGAAGTTTTATTGAAGTAACTTTAGCTTGAATGCATTAGCATGTCCCTCTTTCCTCAACAGAATAGATAAGTATAGTTGAATCCAATCTGACACCGACGGCCGTGATCGGCGATCGATCAAACGGATGCTTGTGCTTGACCTGGGAATTGTGAATTGAACTACTGGAACGGGTCGAATCGGCCGTACAAAAATAGTGGATGACGTCCGCCCAGCATCACTTAAGTGGGACCCGCATGCGTGAGAGAGAAACCACATGTTAGTCCGCGCTTGTGCCAACGTGGCAAATCACTATTCGTGAAATCACTATCTTACCCTCGCGGTGGCCCGTGTCTCCGGAAGGCCGTGCTCGGTGTCCGCCGAATACCTTATACCCCTACTTCTTCGTGCGCCTT